CCTAGGAGGCGAGGGGTTTAAGTCTCTTGAATGGCATTTGTGTCATAGCGAAGAGAAAAAGTGCTCTTTTTTGTGATTTGGGCTGCTATAACAGTGGTATTTTGGGTGTGTGCAAATTAGGTGGGACGGGGCAAGCATTTACAGTAAGAAAAGCGCCTCCAGCACCCACAGCTGAACGGGGGATTGGAAGGCAAGCGCGAGACTTCTTGGATGGAGGTCTAGCCAATGCTGAGGCTAAGTTGGGCGATGGAGTAAGCTTTGCAGGCTTTGAGTCAGTGGAGCCTTCGAGCTGGAGCGTTTGGGCAGGAAGTGGCGCATAGTTTGCTCCGCGAAAACACTCCACAGTGGGGCCAAAGAGCCCGAGGCCTTGTTGGCGTGAGGTTTAACCATAGGTGACGCTTAAGCACTACCAGGCAGGCCATCGCCCTGCCAATTGCCTGGGCAGTCATATTCGTAGCCCGCAGAGCCAGGTCAGTTACACATAAATTGCACATGCTGTGGAGCAGCATCCATATCTCCCAGTCCTGGATACATGCATACTTGCGCTACCACACACACATTTATGTACCGAAACTATTTTGAGTATTACAGGCTTTCTTTTTCACAGAGATGAACTTTATTATCTTTATTATTAGGAGAAACAGCCTATAAGAATAAATAGTCTTTTTTTACCTTAGAAAGTCTATTGTTACATTAAGTCTATTGTTACATTACAAGACACTGAAAGTCCCTAGACAGCTGGCAGACTTTTTTTTAAGTTATATTTATGGGCTTTTGCCTTTTTTTGATAGGACAGTAGAGAACACTGAGCAGACAGGAAAGCATTGGGTGAAGAGAGGGGGTATAGGATCGGCAAAGGACCTTGAGATGGGAATCGAACTCGGGTCACTCGCTATACGTCAGCACACTAATCACGAGGCTATCGGTGCCGACCACAGCTGGCAGACTTAATCATAAGTTTAAAATGTGTTGTACCATGAAACCTTTCAGGGTGTTGAAGAAAAAGCACAATATCATAAAATGTTTGATTAGAGCAACTGAGAAAAACCCTCAATTTACTGCCAAAGACTTGCAAGATGACCCGATGAAAGGAGGAAAAAAAATCTCGATCACGAAACACCGTTATACACAGCGCTGGGAGATACAGTGAAAAAAGCAGTTGAATTCGCTGCAGAATCAATAAGATCTCTGTGAAATCTTGCGAGAAGCATTAAAATTCTGCACAGAATTCTGTTAAAGCTACAGATATCAGAACAAAGGCCACTGATGTGGAAACCAGGAAAAACATTGTTCAATAAACACAAATCACCACCATTCACCATGGAATTAAAACTAGGTACAAGAACAACTTGTGGCAGAAATGGTCTAATGTTTTCGAGTGGTTTTAAATGCTTCACACAACTTTTGCCAGCACTTCAAAGCTTTAAGTATTACTGAATTTGAAAGGTATTTTTAATGTGATATTATTTGTTCATCCTTCATAGGTTGCCCCCATTTATGAAACTACAAGTTGCATAATGTAGGAAAGCACTTATTTAAAAATAAAAATACATTAAATTATCACTAGTAGATGGCTGCAGAGAAGTACTTATAGACTTATTAGCCATTTCCACTCCCTAATATATATATATATATATATATTTGTATTCATTATATTATATTTAGACATTATGAATGGCAGTAATAAAAGTTAATGTTATCTGCATCTCAACTACCCAGACAGCACAAGTACATCTGTAAGACGTCTGCTAAAGATCTGGGAAACATCTGCTGTGTAATCTGATAAACGGCTCAGAAGCACTTTTACATGCATTCTAATAAATGTCTATTTGGCATCTGACAGGAAACGGCTTAGAGACTTATTGCAGATGAGCAAACACTCTAATAAATACATCTTGCATATGTAAATGCAGACATCAAATAGACATCTCCGAGATGTACATGTGTGATTAGGGTGAGTGCTTTGCTGTCAGGTGCTGGTGCCACCTTCTGTAGAACTTAACGGCACTGGTGCTGGTGTCTTCAAATGTTAGTCTGGAGCCATACAATGGTTCTCGAAGTCAGAAAAGTCCTAACAATTTTAGAAGAACGTTGTCTGTGGTATCTTTTCACGGCAAAACAATAAGAAATGCCGCAAATATCACCACAAATTTTGAGAAAAGCCGCAGCAAAATCAGTCAATTTAGGCCGCAAAAATCAGAAAAAAGTCCCACGAAATCCTGAAGGGACTGGCTATTTACACTTAGTGTAAAGAAAATACTATTTTCAGTTAGCGTAAATAGCATTTTAACAGTATATGCATTTAATGCAAATAGCCTCTGCATTTATAATTTGGAAGAAAATATATTTTTTCTTCAAATCCTATAATATAATTAAATAGATGTATTTTCTTAGACTGATGATATACGGGGCAAATTTTTGAGCAATTTTGCTGGGCAACTTTTTTGAGCAGCGTTGCTCAATGGGCAGCATTGCTCAATGGGCACTTTCCCATTGAGAATGGGTAACAAATTTCTCTCTGTATATTTTAGATCGGCCGTGGGCCCTGTGCCTCACTTAGTTGCCCATTGACGGCAACATTGCTCAAAAAGTTGCCCCGTGTATCATCAGCTTTAGAATAATACAGAGAATAAGATGGAGAATAAAATGTCAGCACAAAGTAATGCTATGCAAGTTTGAAGATTTTAATTATTTAGTATTTTTTGTTATTTAGCCAGACAAGGTATATTAGTTGCCATAAAAGATAGCACCACACTTAAAACTAACCGCATATATATGTTAAAAAAGACAAGACTCTATGGTCATTTACATTTCTCAGGCACTACAAAAATATAGCAATATCCCTAAAATTCATTTAGAAGATTGTACATTCAGTTATAAAATGACAAATGAACAAAAAACAGCTTTTATCGGTAGTATCAACCTGCAGTCACATTTTATAATAAGCTTTACAATAACTAATTAATATTACATTACAAAAATTACTAATTCACAGTACAATATCAACAATAAACTCCTAAAAGTTACACTCAATTAGAACATGGCAAATGAACAAAATATTCTCCATTAGCAGAGTGGACTTGCAGTTACACTTAATAAATCTAAAAAACATACCACACAGCTCAACTAATATCAGTTAAAATAAACAAGTGTGTCAAGTGTACTACAGCTGTGGCATTTCAGCAGCTCTCTTTAACAGTTTGCCAACAGATGGACATAAGAGAGCCACATCTTCCAAAGCGTCTTTGGAGAGTATGGCAATATCCACATAGTTTGCAGCTATGGCAGTGTCACTGTGTTTATGTTCCCATAAAAAGTGATCACCAAAAGCTGCTCCAGCAGAGAGACGCTGGAAGACGTTTTTACCTCTTGTGTCCAGGCACAGATTAACCTTGCCAATTAATATCAAGTACATTCCAGTGGCAATGTCTCCCTTTTTGTAAATAAATTCTCCTTAAAAAAAACAACAATATTACATCAAAATGTAAAAACAGTTCTTCAGTAAAGCTGGCTGTAGGCTTGGGACTGATCAAAGATTTAACTAATGCTCACCAACAGGGAAACACTGGAAGCGAATTCTTGTGGAAAGCTCCCTCATGACAGGTTCTCTTAGGTGGGAGAATAAATGATGCTTCTTTAAATGCTGCATGCAGATTCTAAATGAAACACAAAATAGTAACAATGTGTGCAACATTAACACCACACGAGTACTACAGTACACAACATGGCCTTTGGACTACTGACTAGGAACACCTGAATACTACCAGATAGGACAGATAGGTCTCACCTTATAACCTTGCAACCTGAGTTTTAAAGCGGTGGTTGACTGTAGAACTTAACGGCACTGGTGCTGGTGTCTTCAAATGTTAGTCTGGAGCCATACAATGGTTCTCGAAGTCAGAAAAGTCCTAACAATTTTAGAAGAACGTTGTCTGTGGTATCTTTTCACGGCAAAACAATAAGAAATGCCGCAAATATCACCACAAATTTTGAGAAAAGCCGCAGCAAAATCAGTCAATTTAGGCCGCAAAAATCAGAAAAAAGTCCCACGAAATCCTGAAGGGACTGGCTATTTACACTTAGTGTAAAGAAAATACTATTTTCAGTTAGCGTAAATAGCATTTTAACAGTATATGCATTTAATGCAAATAGCCTCTGCATTTATAATTTGGAAGAAAATATATTTTTTCTTCAAATCCTATAATATAATTAAATAGATGTATTTTCTTAGACTGATGATATACGGGGCAAATTTTTGAGCAATTTTGCTGGGCAACTTTTTTGAGCAGCGTTGCTCAATGGGCAGCATTGCTCAATGGGCACTTTCCCATTGAGAATGGGTAACAAATTTCTCTCTGTATATTTTAGATCGGCCGTGGGCCCTGTGCCTCACTTAGTTGCCCATTGACGGCAACATTGCTCAAAAAGTTGCCCCGTGTATCATCAGCTTTAGAATAATACAGAGAATAAGATGGAGAATAAAATGTCAGCACAAAGTAATGCTATGCAAGTTTGAAGATTTTAATTATTTAGTATTTTTTGTTATTTAGCCAGACAAGGTATATTAGTTGCCATAAAAGATAGCACCACACTTAAAACTAACCGCATATATATGTTAAAAAAGACAAGACTCTATGGTCATTTACATTTCTCAGGCACTACAAAAATATAGCAATATCCCTAAAATTCATTTAGAAGATTGTACATTCAGTTATAAAATGACAAATGAACAAAAAACAGCTTTTATCGGTAGTATCAACCTGCAGTCACATTTTATAATAAGCTTTACAATAACTAATTAATATTACATTACAAAAATTACTAATTCACAGTACAATATCAACAATAAACTCCTAAAAGTTACACTCAATTAGAACATGGCAAATGAACAAAATATTCTCCATTAGCAGAGTGGACTTGCAGTTACACTTAATAAATCTAAAAAACATACCACACAGCTCAACTAATATCAGTTAAAATAAACAAGTGTGTCAAGTGTACTACAGCTGTGGCATTTCAGCAGCTCTCTTTAACAGTTTGCCAACAGATGGACATAAGAGAGCCACATCTTCCAAAGCGTCTTTGGAGAGTATGGCAATATCCACATAGTTTGCAGCTATGGCAGTGTCACTGTGTTTATGTTCCCATAAAAAGTGATCACCAAAAGCTGCTCCAGCAGAGAGACGCTGGAAGACGTTTTTACCTCTTGTGTCCAGGCACAGATTAACCTTGCCAATTAATATCAAGTACATTCCAGTGGCAATGTCTCCCTTTTTGTAAATAAATTCTCCTTAAAAAAAACAACAATATTACATCAAAATGTAAAAACAGTTCTTCAGTAAAGCTGGCTGTAGGCTTGGGACTGATCAAAGATTTAACTAATGCTCACCAACAGGGAAACACTGGAAGCGAATTCTTGTGGAAAGCTCCCTCATGACAGGTTCTCTTAGGTGGGAGAATAAATGATGCTTCTTTAAATGCTGCATGCAGATTCTAAATGAAACACAAAATAGTAACAATGTGTGCAACATTAACACCACACGAGTACTACAGTACACAACATGGCCTTTGGACTACTGACTAGGAACACCTGAATACTACCAGATAGGACAGATAGGTCTCACCTTATAACCTTGCAACCTGAGTTTTAAAGCGGTGGTTGACTGTTTTTTTTCGAGGCTTGATTGTGTTTATGGGGTGCAGTCTAACATGTGTTAATGCTTAGTTTTTAAAAAATAATTTTTCCCACAATTTACCTTTATTCTACACCGCTCTGTCCCTTCTCCTATAAACGCGCTGATGATTTCCTGTTTTTATGAAGCCCCTCCCTCAGAAATATGCAATGGGCTCAGATTGGTTAGCTGGCCCAGTGTGTTGTGATTCGCTAAACCGCCTAGTGCGTGTTCAGAAATGCCACGCCCCTCACCTCAGTGGCATATGCTCCAGTTGTATTGTAATCAATGATGTCGTCAATATTGCTTATCAATTTGAGCCCGAATGGGACCCAGAGAAAATTGATGAAGAGGATTGCGTAGAACCTGTGCAAGCACACAGCTCTTAAAGGGTTAGTTCACCCAAAAATGAAAATTCTGTCATTAATAATTACTCATCCTCATGTCATTCCAAACCCGTAAGACCTTCGTTCATCTTTGAAACACAAATTAAGATATTTTTGATGGAATCTGATATGTCTCTGACCCTCCATAGACAGCAATGATATTACCACGATCGACGCATAGAAACGTAGCAAGGACATTGGTAAAATAGTCCATGTGACATCAGTGGTTCAACCGTAATTTTACGAAGCTACGAGAATACTTTTTGTGTGCAAAGAAAACAATAATAACATAATTTATTCAGCAATTCTTCTTCCCGAGTTACCGTCCTCCGCCATTTTGGAGAAAGAGAACAACATGAGGGTGAGTAATTAATGACAGAATTTTCATTTTTTGGTGAACTATCCCTTTAATTATGTTTTTTGTTGTCTCACTTTTAGATACGTTGTTATTTGTAAATGCTACTGCTTATGTTAGCTTTTGATATACTGTTTTATCCTACAGCATGGCAACAGAGTGTGTGTCCATGTTTAACGCTTCTCATAGCTATGTGAAAATGATCTGAAAGCGCAGAGTGTGTGCAGAGCAGGGGGACGCAAGGAACAGGATTAGAACACTGATTTTGAAACTTGTGAATCCATTAAAATCGTTAGATGACAGAATCGCAATTCATATATGAATAGATTTTTTTGTGCATCCCTAGTTTGAACCGCATGGCAACAACTCTTCCTCTTCTCTAAAGCAGTGCAATATGGCCTCGCCCCCTTTGTTGCGTGTTCCCGGGGGCGGGGTTTATCAGGGTTTGTGACGTCACTAACCCGGGAAGTAACTCGTTGTAGTCCCTATGAGCCATATTTGTAGGCATTAAACTGCTATAATTTTAAAAGAAGATATCTCCGTTTGCATTGAACTTTCAGCGTCGTAACTTTGCAGATATTATGCTCAAACAGCAACATACCACACTAACTAATGTTAAAAAAAGTGAAATTGCAATCACCCCTTTAAGGAAATTTCCAGGTTATTTTATAGGGAAGCACCAATATGCTTCAGTGTCAAATCTCTTTCTTCTCCCCACCTTCAAAATCCAATCCAAACATATTTGTTTACACAGTATTGTTGACATTTTCTGTCTATGTCTCTTTTGTTGCACTTTCTTCCTTCTGCCTTCCTGACTGTCTTAAATCTCTGATTGTTTCTTCACTTTCTTGGTTTGCATTTTCATGTTGTTGTACATTGTGTTGGCCAATTTGGAGAGTCAATAATTATTTTTGCTACAGCCAATAACCAAATTCAAAAACATTTTAATGAAACTTTGTACCTCCTTTCATCATAATGCTGGTGATTACCACAGACAATAGTTTTGATTCATCCTTTGTCTATAAAAAATATTCTGCCCAAACAAACTAGGTAGGCTTGTTTACCTTGACACAATGTCCATTTTCAAACAGCGGGGGACACCTTTGAACAAAACCTCAGCGCATGTCCCTTTAGTGCGGTTCCAATGATAACTATAAAACTGCGTCACTCGATTTTGTAATGTAGATGGGATTCTCTCATGCATCAGGTGTGCCTGAATAGTCTGGAACAGATGACAAGGTTATTGAGAAATACATAATTACAATAAATCAAACACTCTGTCATACACACGTTAAATACAGTAGCACTGTTCTCAAATATGCAGTATTTACAATAACCTGCAATTTTTCCTCAAAGGCTTCCTGCAGTGTCATCTTGTTGGTTTGTGTAGCGACGAGAAGTCCCATTTTATAAATCACTTGAATTTTAGATAGAATTATTATCATAACACATGCAATCATTTCTGCAAGGTTTGATGCCGTTATATCACCATAACCTGTTGTTGTGTAAATCTGTAATATCCAGTAGGTGGCGTATCTATACATATCAGTGAAGTCATAGACCTCTGTAAAGGAAAAAAAAAATAGTGCAGGCATATTATTATTTTGATTGTAAAATGTAGGTTAGAAAACAATTAAACACAATTCACTACAACCAATTGAGTCAGTTTGCAGCTTTTCCCGTTAAGCAATGGGTTATAAAAGACAGTGTTAAAATTTTGAAAATACAGTGGTGAGTTGCAGCAGCTCATCATGTGTTGCCCCTGGTAACACACACAAACCAGCTGAGGAGCAATCACCAAGCCCAGCTGATGGCAATCAGTCAATCTCCTAGACAAGGATTTAATCCTCAGTGGAAACAGAAGAGGGAGAAGTTCTTTTCTAGATTGAAGTGGCTCGAGTGACTGAAAGCTGTTGGGTGTTATGGATCCTCCACAGGTAGATCTCTGCATATACTGATTCCTGCCTGCTCAGAAGACTCTTACCCCCCACTCTCACCTGGGCCACAAGCACAATCTCACTGGGAATACCCAAAAATAGTAAGGAGATATTTTAATTATTTATTAATCAACCAGTTTTCTGAGTCAGTGTCACAAAGATGTAGCTGATGATCCTGATTGCCATCTCCTCATTGGACGTGCCTTTAGAAAGAAATGCATCTTTACGGATTACATAATGAAAGAGTTTTTGTTTTCGATTTGAATTATTTCATTTTAAACTAGTAATTTAAAGGGCACCTATTATGCAAAATTCACGTTTACATGTTGTTTGAACATAAATGTGTGTTGGCAGTATGTGTACACAACCACCCTATAATTATAACAATCCATCCGCTTCTTTTTTTTAATCCCCTTAAATCATAAGCAGTGTCTCCGAGCTTACCAATCACAGAATCTGTAAAATATGACATCACATTTTACAAGCCCCACCCATGACTGTTGACGGACACTGCCGAATTAGCAGAGACACCGCCCTGAGTGAGCTGCACACAATCCGGCATGTTTATCTTCATGCTAGAGCATTAAAAGCAGCATTCAAGTAAGAAATATCTTATTTTTGAGCTACAGAAATCATTCATTCAAGAGCAGTGAGTGATTTTCTGCTTTTATTTATTTATTTTTGAGTCATATTAACATAAGGTGACCATACAGGCCATTTTTACGGGACACGTCCTTGCCAGGATTTCTATATTGCCTAAAATATCCAGGTTTTGGCTGTTTGCTCTGTGCAGAGCGATCGCTGTATGACATCCGCGAGAGCTATGAGAGCAGACGGCTCCTTATGCTTTCAAATCGCACTCGCTGTACTTTGATGTCGTACAACGATCGGTGTCGAACAAACACATCTAACATGTGCGCGTATTTGGATTACTTTGACCTTTCTCTGTAGATCCCACCTTCTCACATGCCACGATTGATCGATTATGTACAATGCCTGCACGTTATTGGTCAATCATTACCTTAAGCAAGTATGACAACAGGAAAACAGAGCCACATACAGAAATCCTGGCCAGGACGTGTCCCGTAAAAATGGCATGCATGGCCACCTATATTAACAGCATAGACAGCTGTATAGGTAATGTACATTACATTGCTGTAACTTAATACACAGATCTAATATAAACTTGCGATTTCTTTCCTAGTTGTTTAGCTTCACAGACATAACTGACTGTGTGTTTTTAACACAAACTTGTGTGTGAAAGATAACTTTAGTACTCACATTCCATTTGACAAGACGCTTTCTGTGTGTGTGCACTCAGAAACCGTATATATCAGAAGTTTAAACCGATATGGCTTTAAAATGCATGATTTCAGCACGATAGACATAATAATCAGAACCAAACAGATGCTGTAAAGCTGTCTGGCTGTAAAGGCACATCCCTATCCTGGAAAAGGGGGCGGGGAGCAGCAGCTAATCCCTTGCCTCTGCCCCCTGTCGCAGTCGAGCCGCGGGAGGAAAGGCCAAAGCAGCCACATGCAGTAGGCCCCTCTGATGAACGCATATCGACTCAGTTCCTGCATGCTCATCGCTCAAGAGAGCCACTTGTTTCCTATACCAAGCCCAGCCTCTGCCCCTCGGATGACGTGCGGGACCTGGGGCCTCATTTATATCCGTTGCATATGCACAAAATCTGCCCTGAAAGAGGCGTACGCCACTTTCTACTCAAAAGGTGAGATTTATAAAAACAAACTTGATGGAAAGTTTGCTCACACACACATCACATATTCGCAACTCAAACTTGACATCGCAGTCTGTTCATTATCAAAATAAAATACAGTCAACCAAAAATATAAACGGTTACACTGGTCAATTTAAATAGTCTGTGGTATAACTGGTCCACTTTGTATGCCAAGCACATTTTTGCTCATGTGAAGAGGATATTTCTGTTGATATACGAAGGCGCGTGAAGTACAAAGCCTCTTCATTATAAATAATAGTTTCATTCAAATGCATTGCGAATATGGAAACATTAGGATTTGTGCCGAATGAGAGGTACGTGAGCCCAATTAATGCCTGGTACTTTCAGGGACCAATACATAACCTCCAAATACATAAACCTGCGCTCACTCTCAAATGCACGCACGCACTGTCACGATCTAACGCCAGATCCTTAAAAACAATTACCGGAATGCAAAAATCCAAATTCGGACATTTTCCGGAACAGGATCCGGCTCAAATTAAGCACTGGTTGCGGCGCATATTTGTCCGTCCGCACATGCGTGGAAATCTTCACCATTGCTTCCTTCGAAGCCATGTCGAACCACGAGCCACATCGTGGATGAGGCTTATATGGCAGCAGGCCAAGCGGCTTCCGTGATCCACACTATGCCCATTCTCCAGGCTTTTCAAGCCAAGATGCTGCAGAGGATGAGGAGGGGCCAGACTCTGCCGCCTTCAAAAAGCTGCATTTGGCCACCGACTTGGCGCTCAGGGCCATGAAGAAGATGGCCCAGGGAATCGGTCGCTGTATGGGCAGCCTCGTCACACTCAGGGCCGCATTAAGAGAGAGATATATAGGGTACAACGGGGCTAAAGGCCCACCTTAAGAAAAAATGTGCCATTCACTGCGCCTAAAATGTATAATTGCAGAAAAAATATATACGTTGTATTGAACATTAATGGAGAATAAATATGCTGTCATTTAAAATGTGTTAATATAAAAAAATATATTTTAAAATACAGAAACAAAATCGTTTTAATAAGTAAAGATTCTGAAAGTATTGAAGGAGATCCAATAATAATTTAATATATATTTACAGTAGTAACAGCAAATGATATTTTATTATATGATATGATTAATATCATGTTTTTAAATATGATGGTTTCATTCACAAACATGGTGATTCTCTAATATGGACCCCAACATAATATATGATATTTACCATCTGAATCTAACCATGTCATGTCAACAAATGGAAAAGTCAG